GATAGATAGATAGAGATAGATAGATAGATAGATAGATAGATAGATAGATAGATAGATAGATAGATAGATAGATAGATAGATAGATAGATAGATAGATAGATAGATAGATAGATAGAGTAGATAGATAGATAGATAGATAGATAGATAGATAGATAGATAGATAGATAGATAGATAGATAGATAGATAGATAGATAGATAGATAGATAGATAGATAGATAGATAGATAGCTCGCGTGGCTCGCTGCTCGACTCGCTTCGCTCGCTCGCTAGCTCGCTCGCTCGCTCGCTCGCTCGCTTCCGGTTCCTCAGCCTCGCTCGCCTCGCTCGCTCGCTCGCTCGCATGACTCTTGCTTTTTCTTTGTCCCTGCGCTTCCGTTCTGTTGCGTGGTTCCTCTTTCCCTTCCCTCTTTTAATGTATTTTTTTGAAGTGAAAACCTTTCCAAAGTTTTAATACCTCTTACTTGTATTGAAATTTCTAAATCATATTTTTTAAGGGCAATTCCCAACATTGTCTCGCTGCAGTGGAAAAATGTTATCACGTTGAGACAACTACAGCCATCGAACCTAAAGCTAAGAGTTTATTGAAATGGTTGCTCAAACATCACAAGGCGATGAAAGCAGTTTGTATGAGAAAACTACATTATCCGCTGAAAAGGCAGAACTCTTCTTAGTAGAGATTGGACCACGTTTCAATTTCTCCACCGCCTTTCTACCAACTGTGTTAATATTTGCCAAAATGTGGGTCTCACCCAAGTCACCCGTGTAAGAAGCCTCTGATCGTTATCTCATTGGCTATTCGAACGAGAAACCTAACCTTGAACAACTAGTTGATTTGCTCAGTGATCGTATGACTGAATGTCCTTATACTAAGGAAAATTTACCCGTCAATAGTTTCAACGAACAATTACCACAATCTCAAGAGTCCTGGTATAAAGTGCCAGTTTTGGAAGAAGGTCGCAAGGCCTTAGAAGAAGTTAACACCAAACTTGGTCTAGCTTTTGGTGACTGGGATTTGGATTATTATACAAATCTTTTTAAGAATGTACTCAAACGTAATCCCACCACCGTGGAATTGTTTGATTGTGCTCAGAGTAACAGTGAGCATTCTAGACATTGGTTCTTCCGTGGCAAAATGATTGTGGATGGTGTCGAACAGCCTCAATCTTTGATACGCATGATTATGGATACACAAAAGAATACCAATGACAATAACACTATTAAATTTAGTGATAACAGTAGTGCCATTCGTGGTTTTAAGCATGTCACCATTAGACCTCAGGTATTCGACGGTCCTGGTATGGTTTCATTGCAAACTGTGAATTCAGATTTAATTTATACTGCCGAAACTCATAATATGCCTACAGCTGTGGCTCCTTTCAGTGGTGCTACCACTGGTACAGGTGGACGTTTGAGGTAGGAAACAAGTTTAAACTATGAAATCGAAATTTAATTAATAATTTTGATACAATTTTATAGAGATGTTCAAGGTGTGGGACGTGGTGGTATACCCATTGCCGGTACAGCTGGTTATTGTGTGGGTTCTTTGAATATACCTGGTAAGTGCTTAATATTTTAACTTTAGACAAATTTTAATATCTTCTTATTTTATTCAGGTTTTCCTAGAACCTATGAAAATGCCAACTATGAATATCCCTCATCCTTCGCTAAGCCTTTGAAGGTTCTTATTGAAGCTAGTAATGGTGCTTCGGATTATGGCAACAAATTTGGTGAACCCGTTATTACCGGTTTCGTTAATTCATATGGTTTGACTAATGCTCAGGGCGAACGTGATGAATATGTTAAACCTATTATGTTCAGTGGTGGTATGGGTACTATGGAATCTAGTATGCGTCAGAAAATTGATCCTAAAAGAGGTAAGTTTTGAAATTGGGGCAAAGAAAAGGAGAACTCTGTGATATATTTTTGATGAAATTTTCAAATTTAATTTAATTCTAGGCAATTTACTGGCTAAAATCGGTGGTCCAGTTTATCGTATCGGTGTGGGCGGTGGTGCTGCCAGTTCTGTGGAGGTACAAGGCTCCAATGATTCTTCTTTAGATTTCAATGCTGTGCAACGTGGCGACGCTGAAATGGAAAATAAATTGAATCGTGTGGTCAGAGCTTGCATAGAAATGGGAGATAAAAATCCCATACTGGCCATACATGATCAAGTAAGTTTAGATGCATATAATTTGTTATTAATTTGAAAATAACCTTTTTTTTAATTTTTACAGGGTGCTGGTGGTAATGGTAATGTTTTAAAAGAATTGGTTGAGCCTGGCTTTGCTGGTGCTATTATTTTCTCCAAGGAATTCCAATTGGGTGATCCCACTATTAATGCTTTGGAATTATGGGGAGCTGAGTATCAAGAAAACGATGCTATACTCTGCAAACCTGAAGATCGTGCCTTATTGGAGAGAATTTGTGAAAGAGAACGTTGTCCCATTAGTTTTGTGGGTGTGGTAACGGGAGATGGTCGTGTTACTTTAGTTGAAAGTGAGGCCGATTTTGAAAAGGCTTTAAGTGCTAACAATGAGGCCACCGCTATGGGGCCAGTACCTTTTGATTTGGAATTGAAACATGTTTTAGGTGAAATGCCCAAGCGTGAATATCAGTTGCAACGTTTGAACAATAATCTATTGCCTTTGCAATTCGAAAGTAATTTCGATTATAGCAAGAGCTTGGAACAGGTACTAAGCTTGGTTTCAGTGGGCAGCAAACGTTATTTAACCAACAAGGTCGATCGTTGTGTTACCGGTTTAATAGCTCAACAACAATGTGTGGGTCCCTTGCATACACCATTGGCTGATTTTGGTTTGGTTACGGTGTCTCATTTTAGCACTGAAGGTATTGCCACTTCTATAGGCACACAACCTATTAAGGGTCTTTTGGATGCGGGTGCCATGGCTCGCATGAGTGTGGCTGAGGCTTTATCCAATTTGGTGTTTGTTAAGATCAGCGAATTGGCTGATGTTAAGTGTTCCGGCAATTGGATGTGGGCTGCTAAGTTGCCAGGCGAGGGCGCTCGTATGTATGATGCCTGTGTGGAAATGTGTCAAATCATGAAGGAGCTTAGAATTGCTGTAGATGGTGGCAAAGATTCTTTGTCCATGGCAGCTAAAGTTGGTGGCAAGACTATTAAATCTCCCGGCACTTTGGTTATATCTACTTATGCCCCTTGTCCAGATGTAAATGTTAAAATCACCCCTGATCTTAAGGGTCCTTTGAATGGCTTGGAAACCTCTTTGATTTGGGTGAATATTGAAAATAAATTCCGTTTGGGTGGCAGTGCATTGGCTCAAGTCTTTAGCCAACAAGGCAGTGAATGTCCCAATCTCAAAGAAAGTGAGGTTTTGGTACAAGCTTTCAATGTTACCCAAAAACTTTTGTCCGAAGGCAAACTTTGGGCTGGTCATGACATTAGTGAGGGTGGTTTAGTGGTGTGTGTTTGGAAATGGCGTTAGCTGGTCTTAGCGGCCTTGAAGTAGACTTGACCAGTGCCTTGGCTAAGATATCTGCACAAAATGTGGACAACTCCTGTAAAAATATGCCTGAATTAGCTGTTCTTTATGCTGAGGAATGTGGTTGGGTTTTGGAAGTTGCTACTGCTGATGTTAAAGGAGTACAAAATGCCTTTACCCAGGCTGGTGTTCCCAACCATTTGATTGGCTCTACCAAGTCTTATGGTCTGGAATCTAACATAAAAATTGCCTGTAATGGTAAAACTTTAGTACAAAATTCCGTTAAAGTCGCTGTACAAACAATGGGAACGTATTAGTTTTGAATTGGAGAAATTGCAAGCTAATGTCGACTGTGCCATTGAAGAGTTTAATACCTTGGAGTACCGTACTGGTCCCAAATACAACTGTACTGTAGACTTAAGTTCAGAATTGGTGGTGAAACGTGCTGCTTGCTCTGTGCCCGTGGCTGTTTTAAGAGAAGAAGGTGTTAACAGTGATCGTGAAATGATGGCTTGTTTGCTAAAGGCCAATTTCGAGGTTCATGATGTTACCATGTCGGATTTGTTAAGTGGTACGTAAATTTTGCGTTAGTTTTAAACAGTTTAGAAAATTAAATTGCTTGTTTTTCTTTTGTTTACAGGTAAAACCACTTTGGATCGTTATCGTGGTCTTATTTTCCCCGGTGGTTTCAGTTATGCTGATACCTTGGGCTCTGCCAAGGGTTGGGCTGCCAATATTATGTTTAGTGAATTGCTGGTGCCTCAATTCCAGGCCTTTAAGAAACGTCAAGATACCTTCTCTTTGGGTATTTGCAATGGCTGTCAATTGATGAGTTTAATTGGCTGGGTGGGTGCTGCTAACGAGCAAGCCGATGCTCAAGTAATCAATCAACCAGATGTGGCTCTTTTACACAATAAATCCGAACGTTTTGAATGCCGCTGGGCTTCGCTACGCATTGCTGACAGCAAAAGCCATGATGTTGAGTAAATTGGCCGGTTCAACTTTGGGTTGTTGGGTGGCTCATGGTGAGGGCCGTTTCTCATTCCGCAATCAGGAGATATTGAATAACTTAAAGGCACAAAAATGTGTGGCCTTACATTATGTAGATGATAATGGCAAAGCCACAGAAGTTTACCCCATGAATCCTAATGGCAGTACTGAGGGTATTGCTGGTCTTTGTTCACAAGATGGTCGCCATTTGGCTTTAATGCCACATCCCGAACGTTGTTTTGCTACTCATCAATGGCCTTATCTATCCCCTGGTTTCAATTGCAAATCTCAAGCCAGTCCCTGGCAAATTATGTTCAATACTGCCTATGAATGGTGTACAGAATCATTGTAAAAATATAAATATTTCTTTAAACAAAATTTTGCATTTATTTTCCACAATTAATTGTATACTAAACTTTTTATATTATAAAAACAACAATAAATAATTTCTAATTACTTTTAACATTACAACAAAAGTCTTTTTCATAGGAAATTTATTTTAATTGTAACTAATTACATTTATATACAAATTACAAACAGAGTTTTATT